AGAGCACAGAGCGGCCCCTGAAACTCGGGGGGGTGGGGGGGGGGAATCAAGTATCAGAGCCCGAGCCCGCCTGCGTTCGGAATATGCTCCCTTCGTTTGACAGAGAGGGACAAGAAATTCCCGCTCCGCTGCCCCTCCGCCGCCCGCCTGCACCGCTCCCGCTGGTGAAAAAGTGCCATGTGGCCCCCCCAGCGCCGGGGCCCCCCCCCCCCCGTCCCTGCCCACAGCCCGGCTTCTGTCTGGGAACCGGGCAGTAGCGCTCCCCTTCGCGAGGAACGGCCAAACGCACACCGCGGAACCACCACCGAGAACGACCGCGCCGGGCCGGCGGCAGTGCGTGGCCCCTCGGAAGCCCCGGGTGGCGAGTGCCCCCGCTCCGCCCCGGCGCCGCTCTGCCCGCGCAACGCTCCGCGGCTCGGCGCGGCTCCCGGCGCGGAACCCCCCCTGCCCTGCCCTGCCCGGCGCCCCGCTCCCGCCCCTCGCCCCGGCGCCGCCGGCGGGAAGTTTTGCGGGAGCCGGTGCCAGTTGTTTCCCCCCCGCTTCCGCGGCCCGCTCGGGGCACCCGTCCACGTCGCGCCCCTTGTGCTCCGTCGCGTCGCCCCTGTGTCGCCCCCCTTACCTGCCGCCTCAGTCCCTGAGGCTCTGGGCACAAGTCTTTGCTTTACAACACACCAAAGGACCGGGCGCGTCTTTTTGCTACGAAAGTTAGCAAAACAGGAGCGACAGTGTGCGAGCAAGACAGGGGGAGAGGATCGGGGAGGGAGAAAGAAAGGGGAGAGAAAGGAAAAGAGAAGGGGGAAAAAAAAAAAAAAAGAAAGAAAGGAAGAAGAAGCCGATCACAATAATAATATCCTGAGAGTGCAAATGTGGATCGAGATCCCCCAGAGATGCACATGCCTCCGAGCGAGAGCTGCAGCCTTTTTGCAGCTCTGCTCTTGCAGAATATGACTGAAATTTTCTGCTATATAGCCTCTGTCTTTATAGCTGATGAAAAAAATTGCAGATTATTAGCATAAATGTTTACTCTTCATTACGCTGATGACATTGTGCACTCGAGATCTTGGTAATCTTTGGGAAAATTATGAGTAATTTTTAAAAATTTTAAAGCAGCAGCAGTTACCATGCAATTCAGGCTAATTCTGCGTAGGCTCCGAACGGATATAATTATCGAGGAGTCAAGATGTTATGCTAAAAACTATGCATTGATATTCCCATTTATTATGTACATACAACTTTGACAATGTTGATGCTTGAAATAGCAGGAAATTGTCTTGCGCAAAAATTACAGTCCATATTAGGACATGTGAAATTGCGAAGAATTATATAGTAATTGCAGGCTTTCAGATGGGAGAGCCAGAATGCTCAAACTAGTGCAAATGTGGATAAAATTACAGATCAGAGCAAAAATTAGGGAAAAAAGGGGTCTGGGATTTTTCAAGTTGGCTATAGGATTCCGGAAGTGTCTAATGCCACATGATTGCTGCAGCTTTAGGGGAGACATTCATGCCTCAAATAACTCCTTTTGCCAGAGCCGCTTTAATTTAATTTCTCGTGCTTTTTCTTTTCACCGGGCAAATGAGTAAATTGCCTACCCACGGCACAAGCCCGGCCGGCCCCGCCCGTGAGACGAAAGGCACCGGGTGCCTCTTCGCCCGGTGGCTGCCGGCTGGGCCCCCCCCCCCCGGCCCAGGCTGCCCGCGGAGCCCCCCGATTACCCCGGTAGCCCCCCGAGACCGGCCCCCTCAGCCGCCCGTGTCTGGGGCCGGGCCCGACGCGGGGGGAGAGGAAGGCGGTGGCGCTGGGACGTGGGGAGGAATCGACCCAGTCTCACCCGCCCCCAACCCATCGTGGAGTGCTGGGGATGCTCTGGGAGAGCCCCTCGGCTGCTCGTCCCGGCCCCGGGCAGCCGAGCCCCGCGTAGCTGCCGCCTTGAGAGGGGGCACTTGGTTCAGAGCGGTGCCCGCCCGGTCCTGTCGGACAGGAAAAGAAAGCATGCGAAAGCAGACTGCAGACACGCACAGATCTATGCGTGTGCACTTGGAGGTGCGGCGCGCTGGTGTGCATCCCCTCCGCATGCTGTGACCAGCATCCCGAGCCGCTGCGAGCGGCGGGAGAAATGAGGAGCCTGGAAGGGCTGCGGAAGATGCGAGGATGCTGCGGGGTGAAGCTCAAAAAGCCTCACTCACATAAACACCAGGTGCGGGCAGCCCAGGGAGAGCCGCTGATAGCGGGCAGCGAATAAATGCGAATAAATAAGTAATAAAGTAATAAATAACCAAACAGGAGAAGGAAGGCGCGGGGGGCAACAGGGGCGGGCCGCCGTCTTCCCAGTCCCGGGGCGGGGTGCTCCGCTCCCGGACCGCTGTGATATACGTCCCCCTCCCAGGGAACCCCCCGCAGTTGTCGGCATCCTGCCCGACCCCATGGGGCTGCGCCACGCTCCGCAGCGCACCGCTGAACCGAGACGGAGTCCATGGGCGAGGAGGGACTGCGGGGAGGTGGCGGGGGGACGAGGGGCAGGTGTTTGGGGGGTGTGTGTGTGTTTATTTAGCAGCGAGAAGCGCCTGTAGAAACGATGGGGCGGGGTGGTTTGGCTGTCCCCGTCCCGGCCGTGCCCCGGGCCCACGGTTTTCTCCTGCCTCCCGGAGGAGCGGTTTAGCAAAACTTGTCATTTGGCAGAGGGGGGTCCCAGACACCCTACACACACACACATACCCCTCCGGGGCCACGGCGCGCTGCCAGGAGCACAGCCCTTGTCAGTCCGCGGGGCAGTGGGCTCCTCCCCACGCGTGCCCCTCTCTCTGGGGGGGACCCCGATTCCTTTCCCCACCCAGCCCGCTCCGTGCCCACCGCCCCAGCCGTGCCCGCTGCTTCCCCCGCTTCGCCGTCCGCCGCTCCTTCCCCCCGGCCGGACCGAGCGGCAGAGGCCGCTGCCGCGGTGTGTCCCCGCGGTCGCCGAGGCGGGAGTGGCGGAGGGAAGATGTGAGGGACGGGCCGCTGTTTCCCGGTGCGGCTCTGGGGTATCCTCCCCGTCCGCGCCGCCGGGGCAGTGCCGGAGCTGGCGGGCAGCTGCCGCTTCCCCCTTTGTCTCTCCCGCTCCCTCCTCTCGCCTCATTTGCGGCCGCCTCTTTCGTCCTCCACCTCCCTTCTTCCTCTCTTTCCCTCACTCCTCCTTCGGTCCTCTGCCCCCCCCCCCCCCCTCGCCCCCAGCTTTTCCCAAGCTCCCAGGAGCAATCCACCCTCCCGGCCCCCAGCTGCGGCGTGTCCCCTGTGCCCTCCCTGCACCTTCCCCGGCCCTGCCCGGGCTCCTTATGCCGAAGCCTGGCGGCAGAATCCTGGTCGTGCTGCACATTCCCTGCCCCGGGCGAGCTGGCCTGGGCCACTTCATCATCGTGCCTGCAGCAGGATCCTCCGCACCGCTCCCTCTCCCCCCGCACCCTCCCAGGCTGGCGGGACCCTCGGTGCGACAAGGGGCAGAGACTCCCCTCCCAGCTCTCTTCTTTCAGACACCGGGACCTCCAGGGGTGCAGCCCAGAGGTTTACACCCGTCAGGGTTACAGGTTGGGGGGGGGGGGGCATTTCCCGAGGAGAGCAGTCTAGAAAGGGGCTCAGCCTGGAGGGGTGCAGGGAGGGGTATGGGGTCCCCCAGAGGGCTACATTCCGGGGACGTCAGCCCTCTCCATCCCGGAGAGGTGCAACTTGGAGGGGGTGCAGCCTGGAGGGATCCAGCCCTCGGGGGTTACATCCCGAGGGGTTCAGCTATGAAGGGTGAAGCCTGGAGGGCTACATCCCAGAGGAGTACGTATTGGAGGGTCCAGTTCTTCGGGAGCACATCCAGAAGAGGCCCAAGCGGTGCCTCCAGCACTCGAAGGGCCACAGGAGGGGCTCGGGGCACCCACCAGCTCCGGCCCAAGCAAATCTCCCACGCGGGCTCCCGGCCTCGGTGCTACCGACGGCGAGGGGGAGGCGAAATCTCCCCGGGGCAGGGCTGCTGCGGGAACCGGCTGTAGGGGCACTCCGGTCCCCGGACACGGCCCTGCCCCAAACCCCTCCGGCCCGGCTGGGAGGCGGCAGGAGCCAGCCCTGGGCGAAATGTGGCTGGCGCCAGCAGGCGGGGGGGCGGCTCTGGGCTGCTGCCGGGAGCGCTGAGTGATTCATGGCCTCGCCGAGAAGACTGTCAGGGGCGAGATTTTACTGTAGACGGGAAGGAGAGGGGAAGAAGAAGGGGGGAGGTAGCCGGCTTGCGGCAACAGTTGCGATGGGGAGGGGGTAGAGGGTTCGCAGCTTTTCACCCCCCCCAGTGAGCGCCGGGGTACAGATCGACACCCCAATCTCCCCCATTCCCAAAGAAACTCAGAGCGGGCACTGGAAACAATAATTTATTTAAATAATCTCTGCTTATTGTAAAAGAAACATAAAAGACTGTTTAAGTTCTCCATAATAAATAACAAAAAATACCCCCCCTTATTTTTTTTCTTTTTTCCTTTTTTTTCTTCCACGACTCTATACATCAAACGGCGCAGGGGCAGGGCCAGTGGCTGGGTTGCCGGTGATGGGGGGATGAGCGGAGGGGTGGGCTCGGCGCCCTCCCCGGGGAGGCCCCATCGGGTCACGAAATCAGCCCGGAGGCATCGCGCGGGCGGAAATCCCCCCTCAACCGCCGCCTGCGACCGGGCCCCCTCACCGGACGGTTTCGATCACGGCTAAAAAGGATAACTTATCCACGGGAGGCTCTTGTCTTAAATGTACATATAAAATTATTTATCTATTTTTTTTTAACATTTTATTCTTTAATCCCCAGCATCAACGTGAGGTTTTCCGCAAAGGCACCTAGCGACTTTAAAAAAATAAAAAATAAAGTTAACCAAAGTTCTGCACCGGTGGTTGGATGGAGAAGCCGGGGAGGAGGAAGGCGGACGGCAGGAGGGGAGCTGGGTACTTGTTCCGCAGCATGGTTATTTTGGCGGCGGGAGGGCTGACCCCGCGGGGCCGAGCGCACAAGGGGTCCGCCGCCGGCGGCGCAACGGATGGGGCGCGGACACCCGGTTCCTCTCCTCCGGGACGGCCGGAGCCGGGCTTCACCAAAATACCAGTGCTGCACCTCAGTAGCCCCTCGGGCTAAAGTCTCTGCGGCGCCTAGAAAATGCCGCTGCCGCCGTGGTGGTGCGGAGGCTGCGTCGGCTGAGGGAGGGGGGCGGCAGCCGGCAGGTGCCCCGGGCCGCCGGGCCCCGGGGGGTACCAAGAGTAGCTCCCGAGGAAAGCTGAGGCAGGGCTGGGGCTGGCGGTGCCGGTGCCCCCCGCTGTGCGCGGGTGTGGAGAGAAGTCCCAGGTGGGGGGCGAGGTGGGGGGCGGCGGCGAGGAGCTGCGGCGAGGGGGAGGCTCCGCCGGGATCTCGCCGCTCTTCCACATCTTCTTGAACTTGGAGCGGCGGTTCTGAAACCAGATCTTCACCTGCAGGAAAGAGGGGCGTCAGGCGGCCGCAGCCTTGCCAGGGCGCCCCGGCGCCGGGGCCGCCCGCGGAGGGGCAGGGAGGAGCAGCTTTGGCAGCCTCGGGCAGTCCCGGCGCTGCCTCGTCGGCGCGGACTCTTCCCCCGCACTGGCATCCCGGGCCTGTCGGGGAGCCGCGGGTCGCATCCACACCTCCCTCCCCCCCCCCCTCCCAGCCGTCCCCATCCGATCCAGCGGAGGACGAGTGGCGGGGCACACCACCGCGGGAGAGCACTACCTGGGTCTGGGTGAGGCCGAGGGAGGCCGCCAGCTCTGCTCTCTCGGGCAGGGCGAGGTACTGGGTTTTCTGGAAGCGCCGCTGCAGAGCCGCCAGCTGGAAGCTGGAGTAGATGGTTCGGGGCTTCCTCACTTTCTTCGGCTTCCCGTTCACGATCCTGATTTCTGGCTCGCAGTCTTCCTTCTCTGCTACGGCAGAAACGTTGGCCCCGGTAAGGAGAGGCGCTCCCGCCACCCCGAGCCCTGTCCGCAACGCGGCATCACCGCCCACCCCGTCGAGGCGGCCCTCCGAGGACGAGCGCCCTCCCGGTCCACCCCGTATCCCGAGCCCCGACCGCCTCATCGCCGGGCCTGGAGTGGCCGTCCGGCTCTCGCCAGCTCCCCAGAGCTGCACCGGGGGTTTTGGACGTACCGGAGTCGTTGTTGGCCGGAGAGGTCCTGCTGCCGTAGGGCCCGTAAGAGCCGTAGGCGCCCGCGTAGCCGAGGTCGTAGCCGGCCTTGGCGGAGTAAGGGGCGGTGCCGCCGCCAGCGTAGGGGTAGGGGCCCACCGGGCCGTAGGGCGGCCCGCCCGCCGCCCCGTGCTGCTGGTTGTTGTAGTAGCTGCTGTCGGTGGCCGTGGAGACGGGCAGCGTGGGGGACTCCTGCGGCTTGTGCAAGCCACCGTGCTGGTAGCTGCTGGCGGAGATCTGGCTGGCGTGCATGTCCGGCACCAGGCTCTCCAGCACCCCGGTCATCCCTCTCCCCCTCCCACCAGGGCACGGGCCGCCGCCGTCCCGCGGCCGTCCCCACCGTGGAGAGGCGGTCAGGGCCGCGCTACCATGCTCGCCGCGTTGCGTTGTGCTGCGCTGCGTTCCGCACCCGCGGGGCCAGGCCGGGGCGGGCAGCCGCGCTCCCGCCGCCGCCAGCGGGACGGGATCTGCGGCGCCGCGCGTAGCCGGGACGGCATTTAACACTGGTCACGTGGCGCGGCGCACGTCACCTAGCAACAGCCAATGGGGTACCCGGCCGCGCCGTATCCCCGCGGGTTCGCAGGGCGCGGGACGGGAGCGGCGCCGGGGGCATGAACAGCAGTGGAGTCGCTCCCTGAGCCGGGCAGGTCGGTGCTATGGACCGGCACCAGCCCTGGCCCTGTCTTATGGCTCATACCACCTTCCCTCTCCACCGCTGGCCGCATCGTGGTCTGATGGGACTGTCCGACCCTCACTCTCTGCCCGGTGTGTGCCTCCGCCGGTAGACCAGCGGCTTACGTCCCGCCGTCAGCGGCATTTCCGCGCTGGCGCTGCGGGCGCCAGTAAGACGGCAAGAGACAAGCGGAGATGGGGGAACCCTGCCTGGGGGTTCCTCACGGCTGTGCTGGGCCTGGGGGATCGGCCACATCGGGAGAGAGCAGCACCCCTCTACATGATAGGGTGGCAGGGATTTCCTGCAAAACCTCCGCGCTGTTACACGCGGAGGGGCGACACTAATGGGGTACACACACGTGTGTATTTCACACGGCAGCTGCTAGCAGTGGCACCCACGGGGCGTCCCTCCACGCGGCAGCCGCTAACGGCTCGTTGTTGTGGGACCGGCTGTGCCAGGCACCCTCCTTCAGCCGTCCGTCCTCTGCCCCGTCCCGGCTGGCGGGCAGCTGCACCAAGAGCGGCGCCGGCCGAAGAAGGGCGGGTGTCTGGTGGGCGCGGCGGCGCTGCCCTCTGCCGGGGGCAGCCCCTCGGGGCACGCTGGGCAGCGGGGCTGTGTTCCAGGGCCGCGGGAACGGCTCCCGGGCTGATTCGGGGTCTCACACTCTGTTTCTCGCGCCCGCCCGTCCCCCCGCACTCGGCGGGCGGAGAGGGGTCGAGGAATGCCGAAAGGCGCGCTTACCCCGCGCGTGCCCCCGCCTCGCGAGCCCCCGGCGCGTGCCCCCTCAGGGGCCCTCCTCGCGCTCGCCGCCGCTCTCCACGGCTGTGTCTGTGGGGGCCGTTCCCTCCCGCCGCAGGTGCCGGTGCAGGTACCGGGCGTCCCGCCCCTGCAGCGGCGTGGCCTCGCCCCGGCCGCGGCCCCTCTGCGGTCACTTTGAAGCGGGGCGCGGCTGGAGCCTGTCGGTCTGTGCCCGGCGGGGCGGTGGCGCTGCGGAGGGCGCCAGGCGAAGGTGAGCGGGGCCGGGCCGGGCCCCCGAGACGCCGGCGGTGGCAGGTGGTCCGGGAGCGGGGCGGAGGGAGTCGGCGCGGTCCGCGCTAAGCCAGGGAACAGGCTCCGCAAGAAGCGACGTGCTGAGAAGCCGGGGGACACCGGCAGTACCTGGCGCCGGTACCTGGCGCCTGGCCCTGCCGGGACAAGTGGAGCCCGCGGGGTCCTGGGGCCGGGCCGGGAAAGCGCCCAGGGGATACGGAGAGGGCAGGGCGCCTGTACCTGTGCTTCTGCCTCTCTCAGGCATAAGGCAGTGTTCAATGCAAAAGAAAACTGGTTTATCAAATCCACAGTCCGAGTTTACTGCTGCCCCAAATTATGTACGACCGCTTCTGCTCTGACTGGCACGGGGAGAAGGAGGGGGCTGACAGCATGTAGTGGGGGGCAGAAGAGATCTGGGCAGTCGGCTGCTCCTCATTAGTCACATTTTGAAGCATGCAAAATACAGAGGAGAAAGGACATGTTACCTTATGTTACCTCGTTCTGAGGACTTAATACAAATGACTTTCTTTGAAATCTGTTTTGCTATATGGCAAAGGTGTTTGTGCTTTTTATTTGTTTGGTAATTTTTGTTTGGTGGGGGTTTTTTCTTAATTGGAATAATTATCTTGGTGCTGTACAGCCCCGCGCATGTGCATGGTGATTTACACAAAAAGCAAAGGGCATAGTTTTGTTTACTTCAGCTTATACCAATAATCTTTTGCATGCAAGTTGTTTCTCATAAGTTAGCGCAGGGCTCACAAATTTAAGTGAACTGTCACATGGTAGCTGCTTGGACGGCTTTGTTCTTGCAGTTGTCTTGCCTGTGTGGAGTTGCAGGCTCTGCTGGAATGATCACTGAGGAGTTACTTATGCACGCATTCACATGGTTGATCTTGTAGATCTGATTTTATTATTATTTGTTTGGACTTTGCTTGTGAGGAAGGTGGTTGGTTGAAACACCAACGTGTGTAAGTAAGGGTATGACTCTTCAGGCTGTGAAGGTGAACAGGCTATGGGGCAGGGAAGTAAGGCATCAGGCAGCAGGATGGAAGGAGGAAGGGTTGTACTAAGTAAGAGAAAACTCAATTACCATAGATGTTTTAAAACTCACTCCTCTGAATCAGTCTTGGTACTAGCGAGGAGTTTAAAAGAATAATGGCATTAGGCTGCCCGGTGTTCATATGATTTTGTGTCCTCATGTTGTGTTAACAATTTCAATTCTGCTTTTTTTGTCTCTGTTTTGGGAATTATGAATGTTGTCCAAAAGATGGGTAATGAGAAAGGACCCATGGAGACAGGAGCATGAGGTAAAGCTCAGAGGAGGGGAGGAGTTTTTGGGTACCTGCTATCACTGTCTGGCAGTCTTGCTTGTTGTTGGTGTAATAGATCATGTATTATTATTTATGTCCAGTGAGAAGGCATGTATAGGTGATGCAAAATATTTATGTTATGGACCATAGTCATTCAGCTGCAAGTGGGAGAAAGATGCTTGCCTTCTCATGGCAGAGCGGCTCAGTGTTCAAATTTTTGGTATTGAGGTTTTCATAAATGCACAGCACTTATTGCCAGAGGCTGCAAAACAATGAGCTGGCTCTGTTGTTGTTGACTTTTGTCTTAGAAGCGTCCTCATGCTGCTAGGACTGTGGATGTATTTTGTTTATCGAGTATGCTAAACACAGCGTGTATGAACACAAGAAAGGACCGTCAGCCTTCAAGATGGGCTGGTTCTCCAGCTGACCAGTTTGTATTAATTTTTTGGTTGGTTTGTTTTTTTGTTTGTTTGTTTGTTTTTTAACAGGCCACTTGTATATGACCCATAGAAGTGGGAACAGTAACTTCTGCTCAGTATGTTTCATTTTTTTAGTTAACTATTATTTCTATTATTTTCTTCCTAAAACAGATTTCATCTGACAAAAATGTGAAAGCAGTTAAATGGTGGCATCCTCAGTCTTTACATATGGTATAGATTTAACCTAGGGATCAATAGAGCAAGCTGTTCCATAATGTTTTATCTCAAGTTTGACTTGAAGAGAACCACACTCAGCATTAAGAGATTAATTTTTAATCTACTGTAATTAATACTATTTTGTCCATTATGATCCACATCTGCCTGGACCATTTTGCTTATTTCAGTGGGAATGTGGTGAATCTCGGGAAATGGGCCCATTATTTCTGATAATGTTGCAAAAAAGTGCTTGGACAGTCGTCTCTACTGCAGTGGCACATTAAGAAGTATGGATTTCTTTTCATGGCTGTGGGAAATGGTTTCCAGTGGATTTATGGTGATACAATGAGTGGTATACTCCTGAGCATTTGTCTTCAAAATAGAAGGGTTGTTTAAATCATGTGCCAGATGAAGCCACGAGAAGGGTTTATGCTTGCATTGTACCTATGAGATCTGGTATTATACTCCAGAGAAATGGTAACAGTTAAATCTTCCTTTTCTGAGGGATTAAGCATATCAGCTTTTAGAGAATTGTATGAGTCTTTTCAACACCCATCCAGATGCTTGCTACCTCCTGTGCTTAGTTTCAGAATCCAGCATTATCATTTTCCTCTCTAAAACTGTTTATTGTCTCATCCATCTGTGCATCAGATTACTTCATTCCAAAACCCACAAAACTCTTCTGGAAAGAATATGCCCCTGTGTGTGGCTCCCCAAGGTTTCTTTTCTTAGCCCTTTGTTGTGAAGAGCTTATACAAGCATGATAGGAGACATGGGCTGTGTAAAATCCTTTCAGAGTTGTTTATTAAGATGACTTGGCCTCAGATTATCTTTCTCAGTGAAGAAAGGTGCTGAGCTGCAGAGGAATCTTCAGTAGAAACCTTTGCAGATGAAAGCACAAACTGTGACTTTTAATAGTGAATTAGTCCGGGGTTATTTAGCACAGGTGTTTCTCATTTGTTTCCTTCTACTACACTGAGGAAGTGCATAGCTTGATGCATTGGGGTGAGTGTCTGATAGCAGCACATTCTTGAGTCTAATTATGTGGCAGATGTGGGGAGAAGGGGGAAGGAAGTTTTGTATGCAGAATATGAAGGCAGTAGAGCATCAATCCTCCATGTGTGGCACATGGGTTTTGGGAATAAAGCAGAGCACATCCAAACAGTCCCTCTCACCTCCTTTATGGATGTGAAATACCAATTAGTGCTTAAGTAGGGCCCTTCAGGCTGTTCTGACCACCTCTTTTTTTCTTTAACAGCTCTATCGTAAGTAACAGCCCTGACAAAGGCTATATCCTTTTCTCTATAGAAGGGTGTTAGTAGAACAGCTAGAAAGTAAGGTTTTGAATAGTGTTATATGGGATTGTAAACCAGCCACTGATGGCTGCATGTACACATAGGCTCCAGAGCAGTTGGTTTTGAGCCCATTTCATAGTGGATATGAGCAAACTTGGGTTCAGCCCATAAGTAAATCTTTGTGGAAAGTGTCTTGTGTATGAATATTTAGGTGGAAAGAATCTTTAGTAAGAGCATGCATGAAAAATACTTTCAAGGTGAATCATTAGCTAATTTCTAATGCTGCTGTAGATGACAAGTGTGAGAGAAGCTGAGAGGCGTATTTTGTGGGAGCATATTCAGGCTGGGTTGATCATTTGTGTCATTATGAGTTCTTGTTTTGCACAGGTAGTGGAGAACAGATTTTTTTCTTGCTTTTATTGTAACATCTGTATAACCTTTACCTGTGCAGTCTAAACACAGTTTAAGCAAACTGTTCAACATGGAGACCAGACTAACCTTGGCTGCTTTGGGT